AAGGGTAATATACATTTAAACATTTCAGGGCCAAAGTGCAAAGAAAAAACCCTAAATAGCAAGCAGAAGGAAGAATTCTGTAAACGGCAAGTGGCAGTTAATGTGATTAGTTACATATTCTGTAGTTGCAGTAGTGCAAATTCCAACCTATAGCTTTAAGGATGAAGGGCAGAAGGGAAATCTAAAGAACAGTAGATTTTTATATTGTTTGGGAACGTGAAGTGCATAAGGGGGGGATTACTGTTGGGTAGACTTTATATCCAGGAACAGATCTTCCAGCACTGTCACAATGGTTGTAGTTCCTTTGACTGCATTTATCACTGGTGAATAATCATAACACAATTGAATGATAGACCAGGTGACCTTGCACAGTGGAATTCACAAAAGCAAATTACTCATGCTGTGATTTCTGCAGTTTCTCACAGATATTGCTGCTTTGATATGCTGTGCTTTATACTTTAGGGCTGATATGTCTACTGCCTGCTAAGAGGGAGTTTTTATTTGCTTTTGCTATTTTATTTATCTGAAGGAAGTGTTGCTTTAGGGTGTACTGAGGTGGAGGCTTTTCCAAGTGAAAAGATAAGAGAAAATGTCTTCAAGATGAGAAGAGGTAGTAACCTATAAAACTTAAAGATATGGCCCAGGCAGTGAGGAGGAGATGCAGGAGGAAGGTGGAGGTGAGAGAGCAGCAGAAGCATCAACCTCCTGTGAGACTAGGCAACCTCTGTCTGCATTGGATGTCCAGAGAGAGCAAGGCAAGGTTTCATCTCCCATGGGAGTGAGCACTGACCACCACAGCATGTGCTGTCCTTGCACAAGGAGGAGAACCACAGAAATGCCCACAGACTAGGAATTCCTTCATTAATTTTTTCCTCCTGAAATGCTGCAACATTTGCTGCAGCCCTGCATCTAGTAGCAGCCCAGCTCATGGCCTTCAGTACTGATCAGCTAGCAAATATCTATTAAACTTGTGAGAGGGACAAGAAGGAGAAATACATCCTCACAGATAACTCCTTTCCAACAATGCATCTCTCCCAGAACTGAAGATCTGATGGTAGGTGATGCCTCTGCTCAAGGGCTCCCTGGTCCTCCCTTGGAGGATGGGGACCTTCCCATTGTCCCCAGCACTGGTGACAGTGAAGATGAGATGCTGCTGCCCTAATAAGACCTGACAAATGGGCAATTGGGCTGTGGCTTAGGGAATTTAACGGTTAATTTCCATAGCGCTGTGTCAGGGCAAAGGGCAGGAAGAAGTAATTCTGCTGCAGAGCAGCAATGGGGATGCCTTTCCGTCTGAAAGGTGTTGGTGAAGCTGGAAAGATTGAGTTAACTAGGATTTCTGTGTCGGCGCCCAAGACCTTTTATAAACAGACTGCATGATCTAAATACCATGCGACTACTTCCCCTAACTGCAATCCGGTATCAAATTCAGAGTGGGCCATGCCATTTTATATTTGGTTGGTGCACGCGCTCTGCTATGCGAGAGAGGCCACTACGCCTGTAAAGGAGAGAAGTTAGCTCAGAAACAAAAACTGTGTGCCTGTACACTGGAGAACAAGCCTGCTCCGTGAGCAGAGGTTTAGCCCTGTAGTAGCTGATATGTCAGCAATAACTGTTCGAAAAAATATTTTTGCACAGAATCTGGCAGTTTTGGCCAAAAACCTTGAACTAAAAGGGGCTTGTGAGTAAAAGGAAAAGCCTTCATGCCCTTGATGAAGCTTCTTTTAGGGCTTATAGGCTTCGTGAAGAGAAGCCATCTTTGCAGAAAAATAACATTTTGGATGATTTATAGGAAAAAAGGGAACTGAAAACAATTTTTTGCCAAATGCCTGAAGGTTTTAAGATTGTGTATCCAAATATATATGTATCTCCTTCCTTTAAAAACAAAAAAGCAATTACACTTGGTTTTTATGTATGGGTCTAAAACCAGAATGAGTGTGCTGAACAGTAATTACTGAATATGTTTTATTCAAAATAGTTTTTGATGTTCCACTGTCTGTGAAATATCAGTATTACTTTGAACATCAACAAATAATAAAATATTTTCTCAATTGGATATAGTATATTTGTATATGTGTTTTGCCCATTGTGAAAGACAGAACTATGTGTAACCATGTGTAAATACTCAATATATTTGTGAAATACTGAGTATTCAGGATTCTGGCAGTAGGTACTTCTATGTATGTGGAAGTGTCTATTTTTATGTTACCTATGTATGTATGAAATGATCAGGTAGAACATACTTGCTCTAAAGAGCAATGACTATAAGGGTGGTAGGTGTTTTGTTCAATAAGTACTTTCTACTTCAGTAACCAAAGGGGTTTTTAATTTTGCCTATAACTAAACCTGTTTTGAACATACAGAAGTGGGAAAGTGAATTCTATGTATTCATTTGAGGTTCTTGCAACTTGTAAGAAGTGGTGGTGGAAATTAAGCTACTTGTAATTAGGAGAAGCACAATGTGAGTATTTTTAGCATGCAGTTGGAGGATTCCTGCCACCCTTTTAGACAGGACTAACAGCCACTTGTCTTCTGAATCTGACAACTAGGCAAGTACTAACAGCTACACAGAGACTATTTGGAGATGGGCTGAATAAGCAAGTGATCCCATAAAAGGGAAGGTGAACAACAGAAGAAAAACTGGTGTCCTCAACTGGAAGACTGTACTGTGAATAGAAAAGCTTTTTATGATGAGCAAGCCCAACAAATTCACTTCTTATTATATTTTGGAGGAATTCTTAATTCATTATCTTAATCTTGCTGTGTTTTAACTTAAAATACTGCTATTTGTCATTTCTGTTGATAACGTGTTAATCATAGGTTTCTGCTGAGAGTTAGCGTTGAGCTGTGAAGAGCCTCTTTCTTTGGGATGGGGGTCCTAATTTATTTGTACTGTAATGCAGGATTGCTGCAATTTCACTACAAACTACTGCTTCCTTGAAATGAAAAATTGGGCTTGCATAATTTGCCTTGTTTTTGTTTGGGATAAAAAGACCCCACAACCCAAACCCCTCTCACCTCCAATCTTTCATTATCTTCACAGTATGAATATTAAGCAATTTCCACATCCAGTTGCATTGAACAGCTCTAGTCAAGCAGCTAGTAGAGAGGCTGATGTGTGTGTGTGTGGTAACGGATGGCTCTCCTTTTGCATAGGAGAGGCTCAACTCAGGAGTCCAAACACATCTTGTTTCCTTGTGCTCAGCATTGCTTATTACATACAGATATATGCCCTGAAAGCAAATTCTGCCAGAGTGGAGCATGTCTACCTGGCGACGTTGTTTGTGCAGCTGATGGGGCCTGTTTTCAGAACTGGACAATCAGGACAAAGTTGCCATTTAGCCAGCTCACCTCCAGGTGTATTTAGCCATGAGGAACTCAAAAATGTGAATAGTTCCATGCACGCATCTGGCTCCCTTGCCGAGGTGGGCTTTACTGGGGACTCTTTCCCTGGATCACACAGGGACACACTGGCCTCATTTCTTTAATCTTCTATGTGGCTGGGAGAGGTTTGTTTTATTTCCTTTTTGCTTCTAATCAGGAGTTCATTTAACCCTGGCTGATACACATCCATGGAGTAAACCCAATGGAAATTGCCATTTCCCCCTTCATAAGGTTAAAAAAACAAAGTTTAATGCACCATGTTGTGTTATCTGTTTCCCTCACTATTTTTATGATTTCACGGTGTTTTAATAAAAGAGCTGTTTTCAGATAAGAGCCAAGGATGATGACAGCCCCACTGGTGGCCATTTGAGATGCTAGTCCTGTGTGGGTCTCCACCAGGAGACAAATATTTGAAGACAGAGGTGGGAAGTTACACCCCTGCCCCTGGGACATCTTTCCTGAAAAAAAACCAACAAAACAACCAAACAAACAAACAAAAAAATCATTCAATAATAGCTCTCACACTTCCAAAGGTGCTGAGGCAATACCTGGTTATTGCAGAGCTCTTGGTCAGTCTGGGTGGAAAAAAAATTCAACCCCCTATGTTCTGGATGAACGCCAGCAGCCAGGGGAAGCCAGCGGCTCCTGCCTGGCTTGGAAGCTGCGTCCTCTCAGGGCTTTCTTTTCTCACTCAGTTTTTGAGGCCCTTTTGCATCATTTTTAAGTAATCCTAATAATACTGGCTGTGTATCTAACAATGCACTGGTGTTGTCTGCTCCTGGATGGCTCCCCACAGCCTGGGTGCAGGGACTGGGATGCCCCTGAAAGCTGCTGGTTTTGGGAAGCTTCACAAGTGCTACTGCACAGGTATTTCTTTCTCCTTAAACTGGTTCCCTTCGTTCGATGGCATAGGAAAAATAAACCACATCGTTTGACAGTAGCGTCACCGAAGGAATAAGACCCTTTGGAGCATAGATGAGGAAAACGCAATAGTCACTTTGTTATAAACACCAGCCAGCTGAAGGTAGAAAAAACCTGCAGCAGCTGGAGCTCCTTGCCTTTCCTGAGATACTTGTAAAGTAATGTGGTCTTCTGGCTTGCACAAAAGGTGCATTTTTGAAGGGTGTGAGCCTGTGTTAGAGTGTGGGTTTGGGATACCCATCGCTGCTCCCTTGGACATCCCAATGGGTCTTCAGCAGTGCTGTTTCCTTTCTTCCTGATCTAACTCTGCAATTTTCTAGTATTCTCTAAAAGAAGCGGTTAAATCCTGTCACAGCGCAGTCTCTGATGACTTTATCAGTGCCCTACTGAGGTTTTTGCAAACCAGTCCCTGACCAGTTAAATTGTAAATGGTGACAAGCCATTCTGCCATTCACCTCTGCTCCTGTTTGCAGCTCTCTGGCCAGGGGAGGGTGTCCCCAAGTCCCTTTCCTAGGCAGTGACAGGGATGCCACTGAAGCTGAGCCAAAGTAACCCCACTGCTACCTGCCCCTGCAGGAGGGCAGCTGGAGCTTCATGGGAGCACCATGGTTTTGGTGAGGTTGGGTTGCTGGGGGCTAAGGTGGTGACCACCTCGTGGGTTTGCTCTGCTCACCCCTCTTCTCTACTATTGCCAGGTGTGTTTCTCCGGCCACCGCATGAGTACGTCCTCCCCCTGCGATGGCCACGCAGCCCACTCTGGCATGGGTGCTGCTGCTCAGCCTGCTGGCCAGCTGCCTGCCAGCCGTGCAGCCCAGGGACTTCACCGTGAAGGACATTGTCTACCTCCACCCTTCCAGTAAGCCACCTTTGCGCAGGCTGCAAAGCCACAGGCAGCCGCGGCATGGGGGTAAGGATGGGGGCAAATCTGGTTTAAGGCAGCAGAAACACCAGGGTTGAGCTGGGAGCTGAGCAAAGATTAAAAAAAACAACCCAGTACTCATAAACCCAAGTAGATGTACAACCAGACCATTGCTTCCCAAGGGCTCACAGGTCAGCAAGGGTTACAGGCAGTTGCTGAGCATGTCAGCAGTTTCTTGTTTACTATTTTCTGTTCCTCAGTAATCTCTCTGGCCATGAGACCAAGCTCCATGCCACACGGTTTGCCCAAGCACATCAATAGCGGTGACCAAGGGGCAAAATTTGACTGTTAACAATTATGGCACTAACTGCTTTTGACTTTATTTCAGTAAGTCCCTGAAGCAATGCTACAGCAAAGTTACGCATCTTTAGGTCTTGTCTTTTTACCAGTCTGTTCACTTTATTGGATACAAAGTTATTTAATTCTACAAAAAGAAAGCACTTGCTGAACTGTATCTGACATCTGCCCCCAGAAAAAGCTCATCACCTTTCTGGATTTGGCTGAAAATTTATATTCTGTACAAGATGAAATTCCTGTTTTATGCTGTAACTGTGACCTACTAGAGGTCCAGGGTGACATGGGTGAACTTAGTTGGTGTGTTGTCCCACCCCAAGCTGTTGCTTGAGGGCAGCACCAGCCCCACCAGGGAGGCTCCCAGGTTGGTCCCTACCCAGAGAAGCCTGGGGACACGAGCAGTGAATGCCTCTTGCTTCAGCTCTCACACCTGAATGGGGTCTGGCCCAGAACTGCTGGGCAAGGGGAGGAGGTGAAGAGGAGGGAGAGGGGAGATGTGGTCCACAGGGCTGTGGATGTTCAGCTTACTTCATCCCATGCAGACAAATGTGACCTGTTCACAATTCAGCTTCTGAGAAGGTGGCAGCATCTTGAAGATGTATTGAATGTGCTACAGAAACCCTGCCAGGAGATCACTTAAGAAGTTGCAGTCTTTGTTTAGTGAGATAATAGGATAGAGTCTGCTGTTGAAAACTGGAGGTTCAGCTGTTCCTTTGGGGACATCAGTCTGCCTTCAAAAGGGATAGCTCATTTTTCCAGCGGGACAGTTTCCAGAAGTATTTTAATCCATCTGATATTTTGTTATCAGGACTGATAAAGTAGCTGTATTGGATGTGAGCTCTCATACCAAGAGGATAAGTACTCCTTGCTCACATTAACTCCCTTTGAAGTCTGCAGTAGGCGCTTCTGCTAGGTAAACAGGCCTGAACTGAGTCCTTATTGTGCCTGTATGTGCCTTTCCTGCATTGCTATTAGTGATAGGATTTTTATAAATCAGGACCAACCTGATGAAGTTGAAAGGTATACTTGTAGAAAGATATGTCTAAAGAGAACAAATGCTGCTATGTGCCTCTGAAAAGCATAGTAGAACCAGATTAATTGGCTCACTTTAACTGCACATTGTCTGTTCCTTTCAGCCACACCATATCCTCGTGGATTTAAGTGTTTCACCTGCGAAAAGGCAGCGGATAATTATGAATGCAACCGATGGGCCCCGGATGTCTATTGTCCAAGAGGTAACCAGCTGCACGCTTGTGTTGAATTTAAACCCACTTTACAACAACCTCTCACTGTCCTCACTACAGGACAGCACTGAGCCTCCATTATTCCTTGAGAATACTTGGATGCTGGTGATTGCTGCTCCTGCTTGTAAGCCATCTCAACAAGAAAGATGTGTAAGCGATATGGGTAATCCTTTAAGCTTTTCTGTCTCTTTGTGATGGATGAAGTTTAGGACTTTCATCTATTCCCCGTACCCCTCTAGCTCAGCTGGAAATTAAATCAGGCTTACTTTTATTGAAGGGTTGTATTTCTCTTACTGTTGTGAGTGTGGGACCTGTTCTTGCATTGTTTGCTTCCCCACCCTAGGGCATAAGCCCATGCTTCAGGGCAGCTGAAGCTGCCTCTTTTTGCCTGGCATTGAGGTATTTTCAGTATCTTGGGCTCATAACTCTGGACTCAGAAGCTGGGACCAGCTCAGGAAGGGCTTTGGAATACAGGCACACAAGTAGCAGATCCAGGTATCAGGGAGATCCATGAATCTACACCTCCCTTACCACTTCTCTTTTTAAGATACTCATCAGGCATTAAGATTGCCCACAGCTGCTGCTGAAGCCCATTTAGTTGGGTTGGACATGGTGTGTGTCCTCACCAGCGTGGGTGCATGGAGGATGCAGCTGAATTCGCATGGGCGGTGGGATGCTGCCAGGGCTTGTTTTTCCTCTAGTGCTTCCCCTGGGCTTGGCAGCCCTGTTCAGCACCTACCCAGGACGTCTGTGGTCTGTTGTGAGACATTACAAGTGCTCTCAGAAAATATTTGTTTTGGAGGGGGACAGACAGTGACCTGTGCAGTGGGGACAGACCAGCTGTGTTTGCAGCCTTTGTCAGAGCACCTTATCTATCTGAGAATTTATTTGCTTTGAGCTGAAATCAGCGCAACATCAATAACAATAAAAGAGATCAGCCTAGCTGGCATCAGATGAGACCAACAGCCACGGATGCTCCCTGTTTTGACAGTAGTGGATGGTATTTGAACTGTAGCCTGTAGATCACTGTGCAAGAGAGGCCCAACTCTGAGGTCTACCTTAATATAGCCAGCAGAAATGACCTGACCAGAAAAAGTTCTAATCTGGCAAGTTAGGGGCTGTTTAGGGGAGGGGAACGCTGAAATTCATCAGCTGCATTCATCCAGACCAGAACTGCTAGTTATGGTGATCAGCCCTCCTGCCTGCTGGTACAAACACCCACTGTATGTCCATGAAGCAGGGTGGGGTTTTATCCATGAAGAGGGGCTAGCTGGAAATCTGAGTCTATCTTTAATCTTCAGCACAGAAGCCTTCTTAATTCCTTAAACTGGAGGGATCTGGTAATGTTTTACCCAGCACAACACCTTAGTAACCAGGCTGCCTGACAGTGCGTGCTTTGGAGCTGGAGAATGGCCCTGACTGTGGCATGGACCCACAGCCCCTCACTGCTGGCTTTTGGGTCAGACCAGGGGCCCCCGGTGAAGTTGGCGTTACTGTGTGTCAGAGGAGCAGGGACTTGGGGAAAGGGGATTGGCACTATGGCTTAAAGGCTGTGTCCTTATTCTGTTGCAGTGGAAGAGAAGACAGGAGCAAAACTGATACTGTCATTGCTCCCCACCCTGCAGCAATCAGCTGTTGCTTTGGGATGCCTCATCACCAACAGCTTTTGTTGATGTTGCTTAGCTTTACATCCAATACACTTCTACATCAGAAAGCTTTTATTAAGGCAGCTTTTTAATTTTGTTACTTTAATTTTCAAATGTAATTTTGAGTTTGTGTAAGGAAACCGCAGAAATGTAAGCTTAGGTTTGAGGCGTGACTGAGGTCATCTGCTCAGGTAATCACCTTGTCTCTGGGAGTCAGAGGTATACACTATACTTTGGTGGGAGAAAATGAGAACACTATGTCCAGCTGCTATTATTTTTGAAAAAGACAGAATGCTGTTAAAACCAAAATACTTTCATCAGCTATAATGTAGGACTTATAGGGAACTGCATTTTATTTATAATAAAACTTGTTATAATGGAGACTGAATACGTGAATCCTGCGTTAGAGATTAGAAAAAGAATTTCCTAGAAAGGAGACTTCCTTCTATGCATGAACCTTGGTTTCTGTTATTTATTAGCTTCAGCTCAAGCAGAAACTGTATTAAGTGATCAAATTTGCATGGAAATACTGCACTTGGAATACTCCCAGTACTCTGGTTTTGGATGGCCTATGAGCGGGCTGACAACCTGTGAAGGGGATGGTGGCCGCAAGTGCTGAGGTGATGTTTCAGTGTTGTTAGAGGCTTTGGTTTGGGAAGCAGGCTCTCAAAAGTCAATGTGTGACTCTGGGCCCTTTGAAATACCAGATTTGGTGTTTCCCTACACAGTTTAAAGCAGAGAGGTCCAATTTTTCCTATTGGAGACATGTACCAACCTTGACGAGTCTCAACATGTGGGGCTGGTTTCTTAAATTTAGCCTGGATGTTGGGCTGCACCATGACTTCTGGTTTCAGTAGCTGGATTCTTACTTTGTGTTCCCTCTTCAGGGTACAGGAGGGTGCTCATGAGGTGGATCCCCTGGAGAACATGTGTTTTAGCTGTTGGATGATGCTGCTGTGGGTCAGCATTGCTTAGGTTGAGACTGAGGTGGTCTGTTGTTAGTAGACATTTGGAGAAACCTCGCTGTCTTTGCAAGACAGCTCACCCAGAGGAAGGAAAAATGCAAAAGCAGAAGTGACAGTGTCACATGGGTGGTCAGTATAAATCAACAGCCCTAAACCCCCACCCCCAAATTATTCCATAGAGCAAAGATCTCATTTTCAAATGCTTTTGTAATGGAATGTGTTACTGGACAGGTAAATATTATACCACAGTCAGCTTGGCTCTCAAATGCCTTTAAAGATGCTCTAGCACTGCAAAGTTTATGAAACAAAAATCCACGCTTGTTTGGTACGATACCACTGAGACCCATCCTTACAGTGTGGCTTTACTGCTGCCTAGCTTGGGCACCACTTACTTAGAAGCATCAACTTTCATGTTGCAATGCTTTATTTTAACTGCTGTAAACATCTCTTATTTCTGGTAAAATTATTATGGTGTTGGGCCTGTGTTCTTCACAGGCTCAGCTTGGAGTTCCTCCTCCATCACACTGGCAGGCAGCCTCCCTATCCACAGGGCACTTGTTATGGGTTAGATGTGATGATGTTCCCCAACTCTGCTTTCCTCTGGGCTCTCCCAGAGCTCTCTGGCCCCATCCTTTTCATAGTGCCTGTCCTGAGAAGAGAGGCAGGCCAGAACACAGTGAAAAAGTTACTATTAATTTGAGTGGATTTTTTTTTTTGCTTATTGCGGACTTATTCTGTAGCTGCAGCCCTGCAGCCATCAATGATGGCTGTGCAAGGAGAAGCATGTGGGGAAAATACATTTCTCAAAGATGATTGCACAATATTTTCTCAAAACACGCTTGGAAGAAAGAATGAAACAGCCTTAAAAGAGTTATGGGGTGCTAGAAGCTTTATTTGTTCCATCTGGGACCTGTCAAGAGTGGGCTCCACTTCACGGACAGAGCCATTGCAGGAGAAATGAAGCTCCTGTGATTCATGTATGGCTTTGCTGGGGAGTGGCACTTCCAGACACATCCTGGGAGAAGCTCAAAGCTTCTGCTTAAGCAGAGAGTGCTGCTTCCCTTAGGGTAAGACCGTGAGCTTCACCCCTTGGGTGGGAGAGCCTGGAAAACGCATTACAAGCTGTGTGTTGCAGCCCTGGCTGGTTTGACGGAAGACAGCACGCCGAGAATATCCAGCCTCTGTTGATAAGCTAAGTCTGTTTGCTGTGGATATTGCACTTGAGTTAAGAGGAGGTCAAAGATATGACAGATGTCTGAGGGGTTTTATTGCCTAATGAATAACATGTTCAGTTGGCAATCTTGCTCTGCTGTTGCCGAATGCCTAAAACATGTGAAGTATGCAGGGCTTTGCCCATTGGAGACAAGGGCTGAACAGGAATGTTCACTTTAAATTAAATACACCTCTTTCCCTCTCCTCCACTTCCCCCCCCCCTCCCCCCATGAAAGCAACAATTTTATTAATAATAAGGTTGATTAATAAGAAGTAGGTTATAATTTAGAGAAGAAATATATAATAGCATGTTTCCTGTGTTGGAAATCCGGTGTTTTCATCTTGGAGTGCTAGGAAGCGAAACAGCACCTTCAACTTTCCTCTTATGACTAAAGCAGGAAATAAACCTAAATTCCTTTATGCCTGAGGATAACCACAGCATCTGTCAAATATTCTGCTTTGAATTTTCTGTGTGTTTTACAAGCGTTGGTAGAGAAGTAGCTTAAAAAGGGAGAATGGCCTCCCTTGGGGATGAGGGAGCCCACAGGAGAAACGTGGAAGATGTGATGGGAGTACTAGGGGGACAGTCCATTTCATGCTGTTTTTTCCAAAGACTGGGAAAGTGAGAAATACATAAATTCTTTCAACTCTTCTGATGGTATTTTATAGATGGTAAAACTGAAGGACAGAGAGGTTCAAGGATCTCCTCCAGAGTCTGCAGGAGCTGTGGGAGAGTTGGGATCAGAGCGCGAGCAGCAAGAACAGCTTGCATGGGCTGTTAGGATATAGGGAAAGGTGTCTCCAATGTGTAATGCTTTTTAGGTAGTTCTACAGAATTAATGGTTGTGCATGAAGCTAGGAAGAAATAAGCCTATATAAATGAAAGTTAGCTTCAGCTATAAAGAGGTGTGAATGTTTGGGGTTTTTTCTTAAGACAATTCCTATAAAACTGACAGTACACAAGATTTGGGGTGTTTATATGATCTTCCCACTGTGACTTGATTATCCAACATGCACACATTTCTTTATCTGTAACACAGAGGCCCACATTAGAACTGGGAACAAATCTCTGTGTTCCAGAGTGGTTTGAAGGCTCACATTTGCACTAGAGCTTGGTATGTGTGTGTGTGTTTATGTATTTTAATAAATATAGCAAAATGATCTTTTTTTTTAAACCCCAAGATTTGAAAAAAATCTAAGATTTTTTTCCAGTATCTTCCTATTTGTAGACTGTCACAAATCTTAATTTTGATGGATAAACACATTTTTCTGTCTTTCTAGGTACAAGATACTGCTTTAGCCAACACATGATGAAAGTTACTGGGGAGAGTGTATCTGTCACCAAACGCTGTGTACCATTAGAGGACTGTCTGTATACAGGATGCACATATGTAAGGCATGAAGGATACAAGGTATAGGATAAAACTTTCCCTTTTTTAAATATGAAAATTTGGTAGAATCCTTCTGGCCTCCACCAGAAGTCTGACTGGTTCAGTGGGTAAATCAGCATTGTCAAATATTTCTATTCTTAATGAGCTCCAGCTCATTTCCATTTGTTAGACAAACAAAGGAATAACCTCTCTCAGAACAAAAGAATAAGCTCTTTAAATAACTCTCCTGCCAGTAGTTCAGAGAAGCAAACCACTCCCTTCTGCTGAGGAGGGCTTTGCCTGCAGAGCTGCATCATGTTTTGGCCCCTCTGCTCTGCTACTGATTCCCACAGACAATCTTGTGGGCTTCTTACTGAAATGGGTTGGGGAAAGCCCCGAAACCTTCAGAGCACATGTTTTATATCTGAATCAAACAGTTATTTATTAAAGATTCTTCAGCAGGTCACTAGCTAACTGCTCTGAATTTCTCCAACAGGATAAAATAAGAGAGCTTTTTCAGCTCTGAGGTGCACTGCAGCCTCATCACCATGCACCCCCCTACATGAATAAATACTGGTTATATTTTTTAGTTACGGCTTGTGAGCTCTATGTCTTCACTGTGAGGGTGGTGAGGCCCTGGCACAGGCTGTCCAGAGAAGCTGTGCCTGCCCCATCCCTGGCAGTGTTCAAGGTCAGGTTGGAGGGGGCTTGGAGCAACCTCGTCTAGTGGAAGGTGCTCCTACCCGTGGCAAGGAGGTTGTAACTAGATGGTCTTTAAGGTCCATTTCAACCCAGATCATTCTGTGGTTCCATGATTCTACCAAACAATGTTTGTTTTTTGTCAGTTTAGCTTATTTGATGTAGAAAAGAAAATAATCTCTTTGGAATGTGTCCTCCTTGTACCAGCCAATGTACTGTTCTTGTACAAATGAAATTGTTCTCGAAGCAGATGGAATAAGTAGATGGAGGAAAGAAGCGGAGATGGGAGTGGAATCAGACTGGCCAATGTGCTTCTTTGCAAATATTATATTATTTCCCTGTGTCTTTATTCAGGGTATTGGTATTTTTCATATAACTAAGTTATAACTGGGTTTCTTTCAGATCTGCACCTCCTGCTGCGAAGGAAGCATCTGCAACTTGCCCCTACCAAGGAACACAACAGATGCTGTATTTACAACCCTCTCCCCCCTCAACAAAACACAGAGACTTTCACATCCTGCCCTGCTGACAGCAGTGTGTCTTTGGCTGGGGTTTATCTCACAGCACTGGATTGTGCTGCCAGGTCCAGGCAGCTGAGCTGCGTGAGAGCATCTGCGTGAACATTCATCCTCTCCCTACAGAGCCTGTGGCTTGGAGTTGTCTTTGGAACTGCTTTTCCTCCTGATTTCTTGCTAACCATGAACTAGCCAGCCTGGAATCTAGATGTATTTGAAGGGTGTAAACCCCACCCCCACTTCTCCACTGTTTTCTGAAGAAACTCATGCAAGATGCTCCCAGAATCCATGGCTGAGATGGATGCATACACTTTTCTTAATGTCTATCTTTAAACGTACTATATTGCCGATAGTATCAATACTTACTCACTTGAAACTTTATTATAATTTGTCAGAGCACTAACTCTGGTGTCTCATTAACCTCTTCTGAGAACATACAGTAAATAATACACAGTCAGTATATGTCTTTGCAGTATCCCTGTATCTCTTGTTCTCCTCTGAGCAGGCAGGAATTTGTAGCAAGGCAGCAGTAGCCATCAAAAGAGCAGCAGCAGCTTCGATCAGGCCAGCATCATTCGAAGATGCTTCCTCTGAGGTTGTCCACCAGAAGCCTGAAGAGCCACCCCTACAACAGCGCACACGGGGATGTGCAGAAAATCACTGTTGCTTATAAACTGAACTGCAAAAACTCTAAAACCTCTGTTTCTGAGGCATGGTTAGAGGGGAGGAGGGTGTGCGGCCCCTGACCCTCAACTGCAAGGAGGTAAGGTTATGGGGAGCGGGTGGGTGGCCCAGTTGAGATGCTGGTGCCTACCAAGCCAAAGGGTTCTCAGTGTTCTGGGGCTTTACATATTTTGGCATTACTAGATACAGCTGTATTTTGGTGACCTGTGTTGCTTGTTTTGCTCAGAAATCATCTATGCAATATTTATTTTTGTATGTTGAGTAGGATTTAAAGTGTTTAAAAGATTCTTAATACCTATATTGCCAGGTAAAATGGTTGTTTTGCAAGTAAACAAGCCTGTAATATATAAATTATCATATATATATATATATAAAAGTTCTTAATTTTTAAAAGTCAACTTTGTTCGCAAGGTCTATAATAAAAGCAGGGTGTCACGGACTTGCTTTAAAATTAAACTAAACTCTTCTGTAATTTTTTTTCCCTTTTTTAACTACAGTCATAAATTGTTCTTTTAGGAGATAACTCTTTGCTACTTGTGCTCCAAGGCACCTTGTGCTTACCAAGTTACAGTATGGTTATGCTCTGAAGTGCTTTTTTTGGTGAGCTATACAGTGAAAGGCAGGTGAAGGAAGGCAATGCTGGAATGCAAATGCTTTGTAAAGGGCTCCTAGAGAGTACAGGCAAGCCCTCATCTACCGGCGTGTGCATTGCATACCAGTAACAGCGAGAAATCCACAGAGCTGAGCACGCAAGGTGCTGTCCTGAGCTTTGTGGCCTATAGACTGAACCTTGATTCTACTTCCAGGGAGTTTTACTGGAGGCAAATGAGGAGGAGGAGCAGGACCAAGAGCAGCATTCCCTCCCAGTTTAGTTTCAGGTGATTTCCCTGGGGAAGGAAAGCAGGCTGGAAGCCTTGGTGTATTTTGCTGGGCAATGTCTTTTAAAGACGTATGCATATATCATCATGAAAACTGACTTCGAACAGTTTCTTTCCTTTTGTTTAACTTTATATATAAACCTAGCCTCTTTGAGGAAAGGATGGCTGACTTTGCTCACAGACAAACCAACCTTGTGTTTTGCTGTCCTTTCTGTGAATTGCTCACAGGTCGTAGTACTGAGGATTGTTGCAATCTGTTATTTTAAGCAAGTTAGACCTATCTGGGGAGACCCCCAGGAAAATCAACCCTGTCTCCCTCTTCTGCAAGCTCACTCGGGCAGAGCTGTGTGCCGTACTTACAGGCTGGGGGAGAATGAGCTGGAGGGGCTTATGACTTCTCTGACAGCAATTTAAATATTTTTTATTATTATCCTGCAAAATGGATGAGTTTAAGCCTGAAAGGACCTCATTCAGGGATTCAGCTGCTCTCCTGGGGTGCGGTTTAAACAGGTGTTCTGCATTGACTGAGCATTTGGCAGCACTCTCCTGCTGGAGCTGGGCTGGATCCAGAATACGTACTTTGAGAAGACAAGTTGGAAAGCCAGCATGATGAGAAAGCATGGGAAATCTGGGATTACCCATGAACAACATCTTGCTTACCTTTTCAACCAAGGTAGGCTCAAGGCTCGGGCCATGTTGCACAGGGGCAGCAGCAGCACCTTGTGGGAAGCTCCCCACCATCCTCAGGACTCACACTAGTGATGGCAGCTCAGCTGGACATTTTAAGGTTTTACATTTTTACTTTGGGCCTTGCACATGCTTTTAGGAGCGAGTCCCCCAGTGAGATACCTAACCAGCAGCAAGAGGCAGATGTTACCCCCTGACCTCAGTTGGCTGCCTTGGTCAATAGCTTAGTCAGGTTTCTGGCTGTGCTGTACGTTGTCTCCCCCTATTTCCCATATGTTTTGCAGTCTCACTGTTATCCAACCAGCCTAACCAGCGGCATGGTAACTCTGAACTAGATATGTACAACCATGCAGGATGAGCTGCAGCAATAGCTAGGTTTCTTCATAAAATACTGAGACTTTTAGGACCATTACCACCCCATTAAAGGTGTGGTGCCTGCAGTAAGGCGATAAGGGCTCCAGTGCTAGGTGGCTCCCCACATGCACTAACAGACAGGATCTTCATGCTGTGTTTAGGTGTACTTCAGACAGACCAGACACCTTTTCTGGGTACCTTTCAGTGCTCTCTACCCACAAACAATGGGTTACCACTGATCAAATGTAGTTATCAGTGTCGTAGGGGAGTTAAACCAAGGTAGTTACTTCTATTCCCTTTGTAGTCAGTGAATGATTGGACTGATTCACTGTATGCTAAGGTGGTGGTTAAATTGTTTCAGGCACATGACGGATGTGCCTAGGAAAACTAGTTTGGTTATAAATACCACATCCCACCTAGGTTATCCAGCTGCCAGCCACACAGTTACACCAAGACCAGTGCTTTGCAAATACCTGAGCAGGAGCCACTCCTAAGCATATCACTGGCTTTGCTCTGACCATTACATTGCTGCAGCCAGAGAAAATCCTTGTTCTTGTGATGAGCTGGTCCCTCTCCAACCATGGTCATGCCACAGCTGTGCCCTTCAAAAGGGACCTGAGCCCTGTCCAACTGAGCTGCTATCTCCTGCTGTGGTACAAGGATTATGGACATTGAGCTTAAAAGAGCAAATTAAGGTGACTGAGAGCAAGCGAGGAACTCAGTGAGAACCACCCCTGCACCAGCAGGTTGGTGTGCCCCATCTGCCCGTAGAGCTGTTGGGGGCTTTTTAAAGCACATAAATGCTGAGCTGCACTGTATTTATTTTTAGGCTCTCTATATGTGATATTGCTTTTAAATGTCTAACTTTTTAACTCTTGTAAATGCTGTATATTTGTATAAATAAATTTTTTAATATTCAGATAACGTGCGAGGTGTCTGATAACAATGGACAATCACCATCACTAGCCCTGCCCTTCGGTGTGGTGCTACCTCCTGCGCTGGGATGCTGCTGTCTGCTCCCCTGCCCCCTTTTCCCTTCTACCATGCCCTGCAAGCAAAACAAAAAAAGCTAAGCTAATGTATTTAAAGCATTTCATTTCAGCTCCCCCTGTAGCTAATGATGAGCTCCCATGGTTACTTGTTACAAACTGTTTTACGCTGGGCATTTAATAAAGTAAGTTGGAGGCGACGCCTGTTTAGTTTGTGACCACTGGATCTTCCTTTCTCTTGCCTGCTTTGGGAAAGCTTTACATTTTCCATAATGAGACCCAGTGTGTTCTGGGGTTTTTCATGCAGTTATTTCTGATTTTCACTCCTGACGCCAACGACTTGGATGTAAACAACTTCATGTAGCTAAAGAAAGGTTTCAAAGTTACCTGTGGATCAGGTGAAGCAGGAGGCAGCTCACAGTACTTCCGCACAGCTCCAATTCCCAAGTCTTCAAGTTGAATAAAGGCAATTTATAGTAGTTCAGTACATTTGCTTACAGCTCCTGAACTTCCCCTTAGTCCTAAACCAAGTTTCCCTCTGGCTGTTTGTTTGGCATTTGGTGCACCTTTGGTTTACAAACATGCTTTGAAATAAGAGGCTCTGTTATCCCATTTCAACAGGTGCCTCAGGAAACACCAGTTGCTGCTCAGGCTTGGGACATGATGATCCTGGGTACACAGCCTTGCAGCACTTAACCTTGTTGCTGAATCAGTGATTTTTTCAGCATTACAGCACAGTGAGCTGAAGGCAGATGTTAGTTAATGAACACTTTGAATTCAATTGTTTTGCAGAAAGTAAAGCACCGCCAGTAAAACAATTAATCTTTACTGCATAACTCTTTTCCTCCCCTTAACCACCACTAGACACAGCTTTCAGCTACCCAGTTCATGCAAAACACACCTAGCAGCAAGGCAGACAAAGCAATACTGAGCCTCCTGATTGTAGTAGCAAGAACCTCTTCTCCACTGCCAAGCAAAATCCGGCACAGTCCCACAAAAAACAGCGTGAACAACCTGGCCAGGCAAACGTAAAGAGCATTTTTACCCTCTTAAAGCAGCTCAAGTAACCAGCAAAGGCTATGCCCCCTAGTGTCTCACTGATGCCTGGAGGTTCCTGTATATTCCTGTTCAAGGCTGAGGAGAGGACTTTGCAACGTAACTTGCTCTTTACACCAAGAACCTGCCAACAAGTTGAACTCTTGATTCTCATGTATGGTATCACCATACCCACGTGCAGGTAGTGGGAAAGTAAATGGAAAATGTGCTTAAAATATGTATTTTATGGAATCAATAATGTCAAGCATAAATTAAGTCTCATGACCTAAAGATGTAAACCTTGGAAATGGTGATGCCCAAAGCCTCATCAATTCAGACTTTAAAAACCAAGATGGGACCCAGCCCTCTGAATCAAAGCCCTTGTACGCCCCACAGCATTACACTTCCTGCTGTGCATCAAAACAAGCTTCCAGTTTTTGCTGCATCTTGCCAATACATGTTTTACAATGCCAGCCCATTAGCTCATTTGATTGGTTCTTGTATCAATTTCTCTTTGCTCATTCCTGGGTGGGATTCCCCTTGATATTAATCCCAGCGTCCTCTCAGCTTTCTCCTTAGCCAACCATCAGCCACCCATTGCCCAGGCTGAGCTAATAATTCCTTTAGCACTGACATTATTTATTTGAAAGCATTTTGAATATATCTATTTCAACCTACCTATATGTATTTATGGGCTTTAAGGTTTCTGATCCCCTTTTTAAGATTTCACCAGGTCTTAGACATGTAACATTTACACACTTCATCAGAGAGCTCAACCTACAAGTCTTAGGCTATAAAAATTAGCAGGATATCTAGCTATCTTCAACATGATGAACCCTATCCACAATAAAAGGAAACAAACCCAGCATAGGGCTGATGATACCAGAAAAACAAAAAGTGATACCAAGCTGTCAAAAAACCAACCCTCTAAGAGGTTTTTTTTCACGCTGAGAAGCAATCTGAGCAAGCCAGCTTCACTGATGTTTATAAACATTTTACTACTCACCAATATAAAAGTTAAATAGTCTTCAGCTGTGCTACAGATGTTCCTATCAAGAAGACAGGCTAAACCTCAGCTTGACAGTCCATGTGTGTCAGAAATGGCTAACCCCAACCTCTTACCCAAAAGGTCAGGTAGACACAGCAGTAAGGGACTGCCAGCCAGGTTCCTTCTGTTGCTGGGTGCTGGAAGAATATTTTAAGTAGGTAACTATTTCAAAGGGGTAACTTACAGGTTTTCCTTGTAAAAATATAAATAATCCTATTGCTGTGAGGTTGTGTGCCATGCAGGGCAGTATCTGGACAGCTAAATAAAAGAGCTGCACCTAATGCCCACAGCAGATGTCACAGGGCTGATGTTACTCACCCCATAGTTGACCACCTGGAATGGGTATTTCTTACTGCTCACACTCATCTAATTTCTTATCAACCTAAGCACAGGTAGGGTGCAACATGTGTGCTCACACAGCTTCTTCATAACAAAAATGGTGGGTCTGGTCACCCAAAAACATCCCACTTAACCCAAATGCTGAGTTTTCTCCAAGTGAAAATACATTCCAACAAGTTCATTTCCCATTGTTTCCTATCAGTACTCACCTAGTCTCTACGGGATATCAACATGTCTCAGACACAAACCCCTCCCCAAGTCCAGCTCTCAGACTACATTTGTTTTCTTAAAGCTTTTCCAATCTGCCAGACACTGCAGTTTTAGCAGCAGAGATTACTTACTCAGTGAAGCGTAACACCCGGTTGCATGAAATTTCAGTCTCATAATCCTGTCAGGTTTTCCCTGTCAGACTCCACACCGATGAGACCTTTGTTTGTGCAGCAGCCTGAGCCTCACCAAAAAGAAAACAAAGCAAGAACTGCCATTGCCTAGGTGAAGGGCTACTGTTTTAAGGGCACCACAGCAGCCGAGGGAACAGAAAAGCCACAGTCAGTTTGCAACTAAGTCTCGTGTTCAACGCAGACAGTGGGTTTGGGTGCCAGGCTCTAAGCTCTACCACCTGCCTTTGGCCTTTTTCC